TTATTGCATCGGGCTCTGCATGGTGCACTTGCAGCTCCCACACTCGCACACCACTAGGAGTAGCCCTACATGATGGAGCCAGCTGCATTTGCCACTCCCTTCCATGCAGGCCCTGGGACTCCACCTGGAAGCAGGGGCCAAGGCTCCCCTCCACTTCCACTGAAGTCCTGGACCTGCACGGCAGGGAGAAGCAAAGGCAGCTGGCTCTATCTTGCTGGGCTTCCCCTGGTGGCACTTGAGTGTGGGAGCTGCATGTGTGCCCCAGGGAGCCCCATGTGATAGAACTGGACCAGCCAGGCTGTGCTCCTTGGTCTCAGGTGCAGTGCTGGCTGGAGCTATGTGTGCAAGCCGGGAGCGATCCGCGGCCCTTTTGCGCACGCGGGCTGTGGCCAGCAGCCCGGGCATGCGGGGTCGGAGAGAACGGGCGACACGCTAGAATTAGGCACGGATGCGTAATGGTTGATTTAAGGATTGTTTACTTACACCGAAGATGATCGCAGTGTAGGCTGGACAGTTTTCCAGGCACGGCTCTGATTAAATCCTCGTTTGAGGACTACGACAAGCTCGCTCTCTCCCACAGAGTTGTTGAAGCTCCGTGGGTCCGTTTATTCTCTCTCCCACGAAGTTTGCTAGGCTCCGTGGGTCCTTTTGTTCACTCACACGAAGTTTGCTAGGCTCCGTGGGTCCTTTTGTGCACAGGGAAGAGGTTTGCTAGGCTCCGTGGGTCCTTTTGTTCACTCACACGAAGTTTGCTAGGCTCCGTGGGTCCTTTTGTGCACAGGGAAGAGGGATACGTCGAGGATTGCGCTCGGTGACGGGGAGAGACTAGAGGCTGATCAGACCCCTGTTGCCTGCTTTAAATGCGCTGGGTCCAATAGGCTCCGCAGCGCTTAGAGATCTTCACAAGACGTGAAGTCTCCTCCTCCTGGTGTTCGTGGAGTCCTCCAGCTTGGGTGGAAACCACTCAAGCTTTTTATACGGCTAGCAAGCCAATCGCTAGCCGCCACGTGTGCATAATTTCACGCAAGCCAATAATGGGGCTCGAATTATCATACAGATGGCGGGAACTCTTTGCACTGAGCATTTCTTAGATGCAAAAAGAAATGCACCATGCAAAGAAAGCTACAAATTGGCGGGAAATTCTCCCTTGCACCGGGGTTCTCCTTTACAGCAGAAAACTCCACCGTGCAAAGAAGCTGCAATTTGGTGGGAAAATAATTTAGCAGTGCCAAAGCACTGCCCAAAATAATTGCCTGCCCCTGTGCTACGAGAAGGGTGGGGGGGAAACACAAATGCAAGCATTGGCATTGGCCCCTGGGTGCCGGAGACCCACGATATGTCACTGGACAGTGGGGAATGCCAAGGGGCAGGGGGAAGCTGCAGGGGTGCAGGGGGGAACTTGGGCAGCCCCAAGGGGCAGAGGGCAAGCCTGGAATGGAAATGGCAGGGGGAGGATTTTTACCTTTCAGTCCTCCAAGCCTCTGCTGGCCTGAAGTGCAACTGCTTCAAACTCAAGATGGCAGTAACACCCATCAACATTTGTGCAGGTCACAGTGTAAGGTGTAACAAGGCCCTTAAAGCCCTAAGATGTTGTGTTGTAGCATCAAGGCAGTCTTAGGATGTCATTTGATCCTAATATTAATGCTAATTCATAGCCAAATTGTGTAGATTTTACATTGAGTTGACAGGAGTTTAGCTGAGAAATGACTGGTAAATAAGGACTGTAGCATTTGACTCTTAACAGAATAGATTTTTGACGATCAGAAGAAGCCTCCTTACGTACAGAATTGTATTGCAGCATATTGCATAAAATCTGGCTCATGTATGATGAGGCATATATACTATTGCAATTGATTAGGAGGCTTTGTGACCCAGTGGGCCTGTCTATGTGAGACGCAACTGCTCAGTAGCTGAATAATATTGTGCAGTAGCGCATCACAGCACAGACAGTGTTAAAACCCTACTGTGCAGTATTATTAGGATACCACGCAGTAGCATCACTTAAAAGACACTTGCTAGTGTTAATGTACAGTAACTCTGGTTACTGCACATCTCTCTGGTTACTGCACATTTATTTAGTACTTGCTTACAAGTACTAAATAAGTGCACCGTAACCATTGCACAGTAGCATCTCATGCAGATGCACCCAGTATGTTGAAACGACTATGGAGGGCTTCAAAAGAGGAGTATCAGCAGGACTATTAGCAATGTTAATTCAAGCACTTCAGTAAACATTTTTGGGTAATCTTTTAATGGTAAGCTGGTTTGGGAAATTTGACTTGGAGCCATTCATTTGAGTTAACAATTTTATACTGTAATAATATAGAATAATAGTGATTTCCCTCTTTTCCTCATTACTGCCCTTTTCTCTGAGAATGATCTCTCTGAAAGAGATTTTTGAGAGAAGCAGGAAATGGTGCTGTATAGCTTGCTGCTTTTTATAAATCTGTACCACTGCTTAAACTCAAGTGAGGTTACAGATGTTCTTTTAGTTTTGCCCTGCAGTTTTATAAACTCCATTAGCTCTTGACATTTACCTTGATGAGCTGTACCTTATGAGTACCTAGCTATGTAGCCTCAACCCATCTGGGATTTAATTAAGAGGCTTTCATACCAGATGCATTCACACTTCAACTGTTTCTCTCCAGAAGGACACAAAACCAGCAGGGGTTCCCTATCACAGGGCATTAACTGATGCGATGCTCTCATTTTCAATATGTCTGACTTCTTGCCTTCAACCCTCTCATGCTGAGTTCTTGTGTTCCTTTTTTCCCCAGGGTCATGTCCTACACAGAGCTCCCACTGTGGCTTTGCTCTGCTGGGTCAACAGAAACACGAGACGAGAGTTTTCACTTTTTATTATTACTTGGCTAAACTTGAAAAAAAATAAGATCCCTATCAATTTCATTCTTAGGCTTCATCTTAGCAGAGATATGGTAGAATGTAAAGACTGCCCTGCTTCAAGCCTTTAGATTTCCTGTACCTTTAAGAAAGGGTAGCAAGGATGGCATCTGACAGGCTCTGCAGCTTTCACAGATTGTAGCTGTTTTCTTCTGAATAGCAAAACATGTTCCAAAGAACAGCTTGACAAAAGCTTCTTATATTTTAGCAATGGCAGCATTGGAAATATTTCATGCATATATAAGATCAAGCATCTACATAGACAATTGCTGTTTTCTGTAACTTTTGTAAGTTTCAGTAAAACTTATTAAGTACTGTTTCTCTGTCTTTTTTGAAAAAGAAAAAGCCTGCATTTTCTGCCATTTCCCAAGAGGCTTTTTATCTGTTTAAACCAACTAGGGATTTTTCACATATTGACATAAGCATTCATTTGCTAATTTGCTGGACATTAAACTGCATGGAGCCTCCCCCGGCGTCCTTGAATGAGACTGAAATACTTGGGTACTTAGTGCTGCTCAGACTCCGCATCATTCCTAGCGCACATATGGTTATTCCTCCTCTATCTCCTAGATAAAAGTCACTGTTTGATCGCCTTAAGGAAAAGAATGAGTTAAATGGACCAATATTCGAGCCTTGGCTCTAAAACTGGGCCTTTTGAGAAAGTCCTCAGCACCTGCAGCGGCTAGGTCATTTGCACATACATAAATAAATAAATTAACAATGAATAAATAATTTAATCCTGCCGCACAATGCCACCTTGCAGATTTGATCCTTTGCTCCCAGTGAATTTGTCCATTCCTAATTCTTTTTGATAAAGTCCTCAGATACTTGCTGACTGTCAGGCTAATTTTCTTATTGTTTTCGCTTGATTAGTTCTGTATGACCTAAGGTCGCCCTTAAAATCCACATCTCTCGTGAAGACTCCGAAAGGCCTTTTTTTTCAAAGGGATGGAAAGTGCCTGCCATTTCTCCGGACAAAAGCCTGGAAGGTTTTCAGTTATTAGCCTCCTGAAGCAGCCCTTTCGCTCACCCAAGCGCAAAAAAAACTCATTAGGGGGCACCTTTCTTTCTGGCTTCTTTATCTGATGCATGTAGGGCTTACGTATATCAAGATTTTCAGGTCTTGGATACATTTGGACAGTCTCCCCTTTAACCCTGCTGGACTGTGCTGTGTCCACCCCACAGGGTTACCTAGAGCTTTATGTTCTGCCCCACCTGGAGGGTCTTGCTGTTTTTAAAAGCTTTTACCAAGGCTGCTGTGGGATAAATGACACACACTTTAGAAAAATCAATGCAAAATGAAGATGCATAAATGCACTCTGAAACGGTTACAACAGCACATTTAGAAAGTCAGGCAGGGCTGCCCACCACGGCTGGAGATTGTGCCTGAATATTCAACATTTTATACCTTGGGGTCATTTTTAAGGCTTTTTTGGTTTGAGTTTTAGTCATGTGCTAAAGTCAAAGGCATTTACATGACTAAACCTCGGCCTGTTCCTTTGAAAAGTGTACTTTGTTTGGGCTAGATTGTGCCCTACCTTACTTACCCATCCCTTTGCAGGGACCAAGTCTTGATACAGCCTTGTACTTAGCTAACAGAGGTGTAGTGGCAAAGCATTTCAGGTGCCTCCCTACTTCTCTAGAGGCCGGAGTTTGGGTTTTGTCTCTAGACCTGTACCGTGGGTAGTATATAAAACAGAAGCCACTCCATTCAGGTGTTGTTGCTGTACCTTCCCCAAAGGCACGTCCTGTTTCTCACAGAACAGGAACAGTAATATCCCTTGTACTCTCTTGGCCTTGCAGAGGGTGTAAATCAGACAGCATTTGGCCAGCTGCGTATCTGGGAAAACAGTGCAGTCACATATATAGCAATGCCATGCTTGTGTTTACTCGTTTTGAAGAAAAAGTAGCAGGGAACCATATAAGCAGGTGGCATTTAGTAAAATATGCATGCTAGTTACAGTTTCTATCCCGTGTGGGACACTTCTGGGTTTTATGTATTCAGCAGCACTGGGCTTTCAGAATAACTCTTCTATTTAAGAAACCAGTGAGTGAGAGGGGAACATGCAGGGTAACATTGATGTTGTTGTTTCTTTCAGGAAAGGATTGCCCAGTCTCTTTGATGAGAGATCAGTAATGAATTCTGTGCCTGAGATAAATGAAGACAAAGATGTGCAGAATCAGAAAGAAAATATTCATGACCAGAAAGAGAAACACAGCTGTAAAAGAACTCCTAGACAGGTACAATGATGCCATGTACATTTGTTCTGAAAAACAACTTTTAATTAACTGATGCTTATCCTGACTGACACCTTCTGGATCAGGATTCTGCCATGGCCTTAATTCCAAGCAGAGGAGGTGCCTGAGAACAGCTTGTGCTGGAGGCCATAGGTTCAGGAATACATGCTAGTACCCTGATGAGGATTGCAAAATTCAATATTTTGTCCATAATTTAATAGTTTCATTGCTGGCTGCACAAGGTAGACATTTTGCTTCCAACCTACCTTAGTGGTAGAGATCATGGCCATGTCCACACAAGCATGGACATTTGTTTCCCCACAGACAAGTAGCAGCGGCAGCTTGTCCCCAGGAAAAGCCCATGCCACGCTCCCTCTAGTGTGTGGCAGGTTACCCCAGATGGGGTAGGGGAGGCTGGGCCCAGCAACTGTTCTGGCCCCAGCAGCCTTAGCAGGGGCCCTGGGGTCTCCTAAGGCTACAGCCACAGTGCTCCTGCAGCTGGGAGCCTGGCCAGCAGCTGGAGCATGGCTCCAGCAAGCCAGGCTCTGGTTTTTTGCTGTGCATGCTGTGCATACCATCCTGTGCATACTCTGGCTTTGCGTTGTGCATACCATATGCTCTGCCCCACTTTTTTTGGTGTGGGTTTTTTTGACTCCAGGATCTCCTGGGCTGAACCCTCATCCCCCACATGCTGTAGGGTAGCAGCGTGGGAAGCGCCTGCATGTTCAGTGTACATCTGTGGTGCCACATATCGCATGTCCACACTTTTCTGGATGCAGCCCATTGGTCTTCAAATAGAAGAAAATCTGTTCTCAATTGCAGATGTATAAGTCCTCCAGTAATTTCTTTGAAACTTGTAGTATTATACCTGGACTGACAGCTATGTGAATGAGAGTATAACATAGATCCTTGTCTTATTTTGCCTTTGAAGCATTCATAGATTCATAGATTCATAGATGTTAGGGTCGGAAGGGACCTCAACAGATCATCGAGTCCGACCCCCTGCATAGGCA